CGTTGGGGTGTAACTGTTAGGGTGTTAGAGTACTGGGGTGGTAGTAGGGTTAAGGGTCTTTGCGGGCGCCTGGGGTTCACAAGTGTATAAGGTTTGTTTTACGGGTGGCGTTTAGGGGTTCGTCAGAGTTTTGTGGCAAGGCAACGTTGCAAGCAGGCTGTATCAAACGGAGGTGATAGGTACCCGAAATTGGGTCTTTACAGCTTTTGCCATTGTTTTCAAGGCCGTCTGGATTACGGGATTCCTTATCTTGATGAAATATGGCAATATATTTCCTCACCCAGTCGCCGTCGCAATGGGTTCCCGAAGCCCTAAACCATAAACCTCTTGGGAAAGCTGTTGTTGGCCGTGGGTTTAAGGTTTCAGGGCCCGGGGTTTAGGGGCTTAAGAGTTAAGGGTTTAGGGTTTTGGGTTGATAGTTGAATATAGAAGCCTGAGTAATTATAAGCGTTCTTCCCCATGGTTCCATGTGATAGTACTATTTTACCTATACCTAATCTAGCTATTTTGTTTTATCATTGTCATAAAAAACATGTTTTTAATAGGACATTATCAGCTATGATATAGGATAACATTAGTCAGGCCACTCTATCAGGGTTTCCGGGGTCGAGGGGGGCTTCATAAAGAGATGGTAAGTAGGCCGAGAGAACAGGTTTAGGGTTTAGGGTTTAGCCCGTGATCAACAACAATGTTTGCATCATTGCAGCTTAATTTCCAGCATTCGGCGAAGTTTAGTGCCACTCTAGAGAGGCCTGAACTAGCAAAACCCTAAACCCTAAACCCCTAAACCCTAAACCCCTAAACCCTGAACCGTAAACCCCTAAACCCTAAACCCTAAACACTAAACCCCTGAACCGGAAACCCCCCTAAACCCTAAACCCAAATAGTAATCTTGCCCTGGCGCAGGCCCTTTATACTTTCTACTACAACCGACCCCTAAACCCCCGAGTCCGAAACCACTAAGTGTCCTGAACCTCCAAGAAGAGTTTCAGGGGTTGGGGTTCAGGGTTTGGGGTTGAGGGTTGGTTCAGGGTTTAGGGTTTAGGGTTCTGGTTTAGGCCTTAGGGTTTAGGGTTTAGGATTCAGGTTTAGGCTTTAGGGTTTAGGGTTTAGACCCTAAGCCCCAAACCCTGAGCCCTAACCACTAAACCGTTTAGGGTTTAGGGTTCTTGAGGGCTCCGGGATCCTGCGTTCTCCTACAGAAGGAACTCGCCAGAGCGTCCGTAGCTTGTTGGTTTAGGGTTTGGGGTTTAGGGTTTTGGGTTTTGGGGTTCTAGGACTTTTGTCCATCGGCAATCTAATTGTGTATCGCACCAGATTGTCTGCTGAGTCCGGTTAGACAAGCCAAGTTTCAAGCGTCCCCCGACGCAAAGAACGCGCCCGTAACACTTCCATCTATCGCTGGGAGCCCTAAGCCCTAAACCCTACAGCCTAAACTCCTAAACACTAATAATCATTAAGCCCTAAACTCATATCCTGAACACTAAGCTTGGAGCGGTCATGTCATGCCAATTCCGCTGGCCCTTTCACTGCCAAGCCGGTGTCGGAGGGCGCACCCTGCGATTAGGGTTTAAGGCTTGGGGTTTTATAGTGTAGTATCGGACAATCTAGGATAATACGGTCTAGTTTAATCTAGCTGAGAAGCATAGTTTAATATAGTATATAGCATGTCGAAAGGCTTAGGTTGGAGTTTACAAGGTTTGCCGTGCTATTGTCGCGGAACTTAGTTCAAGTTGCCATGACAGGGATCTATAGTAAATGCTAAAGTTTCCTTGTCATTGTAACTCAAATCAGTTTCCGTAGCAAGAACCAAGTTTAGGGTGCAGATCTAGTCCCAGTTCAAGTCTAGGAGGCTTAAGAAAGGATAGCCTTTATCAGTATCCAGCCTATGCCATGCACACCTTCGCACTACAGGACATCGGGCAGGTTCGCTGGTCGCACGACGCCGTCTACGACCATTTCAAGGATGGCACGAGCGTCTTTGAGACCGTCGTGGAGCTGCTGAGTGGGAAGCTGAAGCTTCTGGACCTGCCGCCTCTGCAGTTGGTGAAGAAAGGCGGGCAGTATTACTCTCTGTCGAATCGCCGTCTCTACGCCATCAGGCAGTACCTTAACCTACCAAAACCTACCCTTCTGGTAGGGTCCCTATACTCCATACATTCCATAAATGGCTTAAAACTAAGAACCTACAAAATGGGAGGGTTGAGGGTGGTTTAAGGTATGCGCAGATCTTGAAGCAGTTTGGGCGTCTGCACGAGAAGACATCGCTGTCGGTGCCCGTGAGCTTCGCGGAGAGCTACTCGGGGGAGGCCTTCACGAGCGTCACGGGGGGCTTGAGGGTGGCTTGGTAGCTGACTGAGAGCACTTTACACCAATTGGGATCATATTATTATTCTTCCGCACAGAACAGGGATCATATGAGTATTATTCCACAAAGAACAGAAAGTTTACACTTCCTTGGGCTAACCATAAACCTCCAAAACCCTGAACCCCAACGAAGGTGGAGCTTATCCGGCCGCTGCAGGGGCCCAGTTTCCCCCTGCGCAACGTGGGCCCCCGTAGGCCACCCAGTGCTCGAAGCTTGTCCCGGGACGCCCTGAGCCACTCCAAAGAGAGAAACCGATCGTTGTCGCGGGGAAGATGCTCGGGTTCTTGTTGAGGAGTTTGGTTTATGTGGTAGTCATACGGAACCCCTAGCAGTCACTATAGATCCCTAGTATGGTGACTTAAGCTAATAAGTTCCTCTTCTATTTCTAAATCACCATAACAGGGATACCCTGTTCTTTGCCATTGATCCCTAATGAATAAGGTAACTTAAAGTACTTTCCTTGTCAACCCAGGATGGGTGGAGCCGGATCCGCAGGGGCGCCGGAGGCTTAAAAACTCAACCCTAAACCCTAAACCTTTGACCCTAAACCCTAAACCCTAAACCCTCAATCCGAAAACCCTAAACCCTAAACCCTGCGTCTTAAATCCGAAACCCTAAACCCTATATATTCCTTAATTAAGGGGCATTGGGTGCCAGAGGATATCGTTTGGCCAGACGGACTGGCGCTTCATTTTAACCGAGTGCGACGAGCCCAGTGGGGTCCGAGGCTTGATTCCCCAGTAGTACCCTTTTTGCTCTTTTGGGGTTTAGGGTTTAGGGTGTAGGGTTTAGGGTATAGGGTTTAGGGTAATATAGGGAGGTATACATTACCCTTTTTGCTCTTTTGCCTTGACCCCGAAACCCCTAAGCCTTCTTTGGGGTTTCGGGGTTTGTGGTTTAGGGTTTTAGGGTTTGTGGGCTTAGGCTTTTCTTCTGACAATTGAATCGCAGCAAGAAGGGTTTTGGGCTCGTTTATAGAATAATTATAATAAGGAACCCCCAAAATAGTATAGGTCAGAAGAAAAGCCTAACCACCAAAACCCTAAAACCCTAAAGCCCTAAACCCCAAAACCCTAAACCCGAAACCCGAAAGAAGGCTTAGGGGTTTCGGGGTTAAGGTAAAAGGGCAAAAAGGGTAATATATCCCTCCCTATATTACCCTTAACCCTAAACCCTAAACCCTAAACCCTAAACCCTAAACCTATTAAGGGGGACGCCTGGGGAAGCAAGGAGAGCGGAGGCCAAGTCCAGCTCCCAGGACTCGCATGGGGCACCCGGAGCAGCCGAAGGACGGTTCGGGGTTTTAGGGTGTTAGAATTTAGGGTTTTAGGGTTTAGGGTTTAGGGTTTTAGGGTGTTAGGGTTTAGGGGTTTAGGGTTTAGGGCTTTAGGGTGTTAGGGTTGAGGGTTTGGGGTGTCAGGGTTTACGGTTTAGGGTGTTAGGGTTTAGGGCTTAGGGTTTTCGAAGTTAGGGTGTTAGGCTTTTAGGGCTGAGGGTTTAAAGTTTAAAGCTTGGGGTATTACAGTCTAGGCCCAAGAAGGAGTCACCGGCACAGCCAACCGTCAAGGAGACACCGGCACAGCCAAAAGCGACGCCAAAAGCAAAGGAGACACCCATACAGACGAACGCGAAGGAGACACCGGCACAGCAGCCAAAAGTGAAGGAGACACCGGCAGAACCCAAGGCCCTGCCCGAGGAAGAGTCCCAGAGCAAGGCGAAGAAGGCGAAGAAGAACAAATCCAAGGATCCGTCCCTGCCAACCTCCACCGAAGAAGTGCTTTCGGCCGCTTGTCCCAACCCTAAACCCTAAACCCTAAACCCTAAACCCTAAACCCTAAACCCTAAACCTTTGAAGCACGAGATCCTCAGCCCAAAACCCGAAACCCTATCGACCGGAAGCGCTGTACACCCTAAGCCCTAAACCTGAAACCCTCTAGACTTAGGGTTTAGGGTTTAGGGTTTAGGGTTTAGGGTTTAGGGCCAAGCCCTACAGACTCTAAGCCTTGTGCGCCCGAATCCCTAAACCTTAGACCCTAAACCTTAACTGCACAGCCATGCGGAGAAAGGGCCATTGCATTAGCAAATCTTAACTGCAAGCCCCAAACCCTAAACCCTAAACCCAAAACCCAAAACCCTAAACCCTAAACCCTAAACCCTAAATCCTGCTGGTACGACCTGCAAGGCTGCACGGCAGACGAAGATGGACGCAGCCTCAGAGAAGGGCAAAGAAGCCACTCCCTTGACCTCGGAAGGTTTCTTGGCCATGCTTGGAAATGGGTTTTTGTTTATTACATCATATGAATTATGGTATGTTATAGTATATTTCAGTATTTTATGGTATAGTATACTATAGTCCACGATGGCATAGTATAATATAATACAGTATTGTATAGTATGATTTAGTACAGTATAGTATATTATGCTATAGTCTAGTATGTTAATTATAGTGTATATAGTTTGCACTATCAGCGTTTAGGGGCCTGTGGGGTTTAGGGCCATTCCTATTCGCACTGTAACTTCTTGAGAAAGGACAGGAAGGTGTTTCAGGGACCTCCAAAACAGCGCAGGTTACCCGACGCTCCCAAGCTGCAAGAGGACGAAGACAGAGACGGAGGTCTCAAGGGTATTTGGAAAGAGTTTTTAAACTTTCCTTTACTACAATCCCACAAAAAAGATCTGAAATTGCAAGTTTTTGCGAGGGTAAACCCTAAAACCTAAGCCGTTCAGTATAGAGGTCGGAGAGCTCGTGCTGCTGTGCTTGGGCTTACAGAGGGCCGTGCCGAAACCACGGCAAGCAGTTCCACGACCGGAGATTCGCGACTTACTGGCGAAGCTGGCGCCCGGCGGGGAGGACTCGAAAGTGCAGTCCTGGTTAGGGGGAAGCGGGTACTCCTTGGGCCACCAGAGCTACTACGAGAAGCTCTTGCCCTCCTTGCGACAGCTGGTGGAGCGACTCACCACGCAGCTTGCGGATACCCAGCGGGTGGGGTGTCAGCAGTGGGAGGATTCAGCTGATGCACCGGAAAAAAGGGCAGAGGAAGAGGGTGGGCTGGTGCCGGAGTCGTTGAGCTTGCTGTTTGGGGTATGACATACGGTATCGGGCTTCGGGTATTGGGGTTAGGGCTTATGGGCTTAGGGTGGGCATTGGGTTCGGGGATTCCAGTTCTTGAGTTTGTTGAGCTGCAACTTATCTTGAAACACGAGATGCCGACCTTTTGCTGGCTGGCATCGGGTTTAGGATTTGTGGTGGCATGCAATACCAAGCCTCAGATGTCAAGCTTGCAATCCCCAACTAAGCGATAAGTATTTCGGGATGCGAGCGATGGTTTATCGTGTCCTTGATGCCCCAAATACTGGTGATCAACAGTGTGGTTCCCACGCTTGTGGTATAGCGAACCCCAAACCCTACTTTCGTGAGTCAGCCGCTCGAAGGCTAAAGCCCCATTCCCAACGCCAGCTGTTGCGGTTTGTATCTCCAACAAGCACCCAGAACCGGTGTAAGCTTCTTGGTGTGAGGTCCTAGTGTCCCCAAACAGTCACCCTACCCCCCCTAAACCCTCAACCCTAAACCCTAAAACCCTAAACCCTAAACCGTCAACCCTAAACCCTAAAACCCTAAACCCTAAACCGTCAACCCTAAAATCCTAAACCCTAAACCCTAAACCCTCAACCCTACATTTCCTTTGTCCGAGGTGCACCGCCTCCCCCTCCGGCAGCTCAGTCGCAGCCAGGGCTTGGGGATTTGGGGCCTGGAGGACCCAAACCCTAAACCCTAAACACGAAACATTAAACCCTAAACCCTAAACACTAACTAAACCCCCAAACCCTTAACCCTAAACACTAAACAATAAACCCTAAACCCTAAACATTCAACCCTAAACCCTAAACCCTAAACACCTGTGGCTGCAACGGATCTTGGCCTAGACCCCTGCAGGGTCAGCGAAGCAGATCATGGTAACTTGCAGTAACTATTCTAGGTTCTTGTTAAGGAGCTTAGTTTAAGTTACCGTATTAAAGATCTATAGTAACCCTAAACCCTAAAACCTAAACCCTTAACCCTTAAATAATATGGCTCCGGTTGTTATGGTAACTTAGTCCCTTAACAAGAACTCCAGTCTTTGGGGAGCATCCCCATACTGAAAGGGTATAGGATGGGTGGTCTCGGGCTTCATTTAGGGTTTGGGGCTTCGGTTTTAGTGTTTGGGGGTTGGGGGTTTGAGGACCTTGGTCTGCAGTGTGTCGGATTTAGGGTTACCATCAGTTTTGTGTTCGGGGTTTAGGGTTTAGGGTCTAGGGTTTGGGGTGTAGGGTTTAGGTACTTTAGGCTGTGTTGCTTTGGGGTGTAAGGTTTAGGGGTTTGGGTGAGGTTAGGGGCGTCGGCTTGCGGGTAGGTTCATGGATGCTTATGTGCAAGGATATGCGTGTATGCAACAAATGTCCTATAGCCTATCCTCAAGGCATAGTAGGTAGCCTTTAGCTTTTTTGGGGTACTATAACCCCTATATACTCCCAATATACTCCCAAAGGTTAACCTTTAGCTCCCCAACATACTGGACAAGTAGGCTTTTCTATACCTAAACCCTAAACCCTAAGCATCTAAACGTGTTTCTTTTATAGCCTATTCCAGCAGTAGATGATGCAAGATTTATATCATCAACCGTGGTAGAGTAGGTAGTCCCTAAGCCCAAAACCCTAAACCCCAAACCCAAAACCCAAAACCCCAAAACCCTAAACCCTAAACCCTAATCCCAACACCCAAAGCCCAAAACCCCAAACCCCAAAACCCCTAAACCCTTTTGGGGTACTGTGTTTGCAGTTTGATACTGTTTGAGGATGTAGGCTCGCGGCATCGGCTTCTGGGTTGGGTTTAGGCCGATTTGGGGTTTGGGGTTTAGGGTTTAGTGTTTAGAGTTTAGGCTCTTTGGGTTTAGAGTTTAGGGGTTTAGGGTTTTGAGAGTTTAGAGTTTAGGGTTTGGTGTTTTTGACTTCCGGAAGCAAGGGGTCTTAGAGTCTCCGGGTGCCCCACGCTCAAGCCGAAGCAGATACCAAGACCTTGAACACACAAGCCCTAATCACCTAAACCCTAAACCCTAATCACCTAAACCCCAAAACCCCACACCCCTAAACCCTAAACCCCAATCACCTAAACCCTGCACCCCCGAACCCCTAAACCCCAAATCCCAAACCCCTAAACCCCAAACCCCTAAACCCCTAGACCCCTAGACCCCTAGACCCCTAAACCCCAAACCCCTAAACCCCAAACTCCTAGACCCCTAAACCTAAATCTCTGAAGTTCAGCATCCGTCCCTGGCTTTGAACCACGAACCCTAGAATCCTCGGCCTCCATAGGGTTTAGGGTTTAGGGTTTAGTAAGGGGTTTGGGTTTAGCGGTTTAGGGGTTTGGGTTTAGGGTATCCGGGTATCCCATCGAAAACACCTTGTAATGAAGCTCAGTAAGGTAGGGATAGCCGTGCAAAATGCTTCTGCTTATGTCCGTTTCGGGACCCTTATGCACAAGCCTTGAGTTAGGTGGACTTTGTGGTTAGCATATGGGGTTGAGGGTGTAGGCTTCAGAGTTTGGGTTTAGCGTTCAGGCCCACATTGGCTTACAAGCTACTTGCAAAGTCCCCTGATCCTTCAGTTGAACCGTTGTATAACCGCTATAGCCTTAAGCCTCTGCCTGGCTGTGGTCCTCTGTGCCCGAGAGCACATGATCAGACAGCCACGCCAGTGTAGTGACTCAGGCTGTCCTTGCAAGGCCCAGTCGACAGTCCTTTTCGTCTCGCAGGCTTGTACAGGCCTTTCCCAGCTTAGCTGCGAGCAAGTAGTAGTAGCCCGTTTTTTTCCGAGTCACCGAACACTGACCGCTATAATTACGGAGCCCTTACTGTGCCACCTTTCTCTGTAGAACCCTTTTTTGAACTCAGTCGTAGAGCTCTTATTATCGAACAGTTCCTCATCAAACAACTTTTGGTTCGGAACATTTATAGACCCTCTCAGAACCCTTATTCAGCCTTTCCTGCCCCAAAGCCCGAAACCCCAAACCTCCCAAACCCTACACCTGAACCCCAAAGCCCTAAACGCTCACCCCCAAAACCCCAAAACTCCTAAGCCCTACAAACTCTTGATCCAGGGCAGCATGCTTGGCTCAGCCCTAGTACCTGCCGCTGCGACCGAGGCAGGGAGGTTCGGGAAGTATGGGCGAAATCTGTGGTTCTAAACGGTTCTCGGTTTAGGGTTTAGGGTTTAGGGTTTAGGGTTTAGGGTTTAGGGTTTGGGCCTAGGGTTTAGGGTTTAGGGTTTAGGGTTTAGGGTTTAGGGTTCCTTCAAGGGTGCCGGACGGTCTCTCAGGATTTCTTGTAAGGGTTCTATGGGAGTTTCCTAGTGGCTCCGTTAAGGGCTATGTGGGGTTCTACAGCGGTTCCGACTAGGGATCCTCAAAGGATCGACTGAGGGTTCTAGGATGCTAGGAGTTTAAGAGGGTCCGTCCGGATTCAGGGTTCATCATAGGCTTTCAGGCTTCGCGACTCCCCTAAACCCTAAGCCCTAAACCCTAAACCCTACACCCTAAACCCTAAAAAAAAACCCTAAACCCTACAACAGCCAAGAGAAGCGAAGCGAGATCAAGCCCGGTTCATGGACCGAGAACTGACCGCACAAGCGAGAAGCCTAAATCCTAAACCCCCAAACCAGAAGCATGCACGGAAGCACTTAAAGCGCAGGAGCTGAACGCTCGTCGCAGGAGTCGTTCTTCGATGTATCCATCAGGTCTGAAGGAAGTTTGCATACCGTTTTAGGCTGTAGTGTTTATGAATTACGGAAGCCCCAAACCCTAAAACCTAAGCCCTAAAGCCCCAAACCCTAAACCCTAAACCCTAAACCCTAAACCCTAAACCCTAAACCCTAAAGCCCCAAACCCTAAAACCCTAAGCCCGAAACCCCAAACTCGAAACCCGAAGCCCGACACCCTATAACTCTTCAAGCCCAAAGCCCTGAACCCCAAGATCCTTCACCGCCTAAAGGGCCCCTATAGAACCCTCTTAGGACCCGTCATCGTAAAGGTTAGGGTTTAAGGTTTAGGGTTTAGGGTTTAGGGTTTAGGGTTTAGGGTTTAGGGTTTAGGGTTTAGGGTGAAGAGTTGAAGCCCTAAGACTCTGCCGTGCGGAGGCGCCCTCGCCGCTGTGGCTGGCAGAGGAGGCGCGTGCGGGAAATCTGGCCGAAACCCCACAACCTAAGACCCTAAACCCTAAACCCTAAACCCCACAACCTAAGACCCTAAACCCCAACCCGTAGGCCCCAAACCCTAAACGCTAAACCCGAAACCCTAAGCCCCAAACCCTAAACCCCAAGCCCTAGACCCTACCTGAGCCTGCACCCCAAAAGCCGGCAATTACGAGTTCGGAGATGCCGTCTTTAGGGTCCTAGGGTAGTAGGATAGCAGAGGCACAGAGAAGAGTCAGAGAGACTTTTCATGCAGGAAGATGATATGAGGACCCCGATCGAAAACCCTAAACCCTAAACCCTAAACCCTAAACCCTAAACCCTAAACCCTAAACCGAGAGTGGCATCACCTTGCTATACCGACCGAGCCAGAGCAGAACCCTTCAAAAGAAGAAGCCCTCAAGCAAGAACGAGAGAGGGCTCTTTTGCGAAAAGGGGGCGTTGTGGTTTAGGGTTTAGGGTTTAGGGTTTAGGGTTTCGGGTTTTGGGTTTGAAGAGGACGACGACTGGGGACAGTGGAAAGCGTCTGCTGCGATGGGGGCTTCGGAGGAAAAGCCTGCTGTGCCGGCCAAGAAGAAGAAGAAGCGCCCAGCCAAGACTACGGCCGCTGCTGTGGATGTGGGTCTCGCTCCTTCGGAGCCTATATCGGGGTTTGGGGCTTAAGGTTTGAGGATTTAGTGTTTCAGGGTTCATTCCGGGTTCAGGGTTTACAGGGTTTTCGGGCTTCAGAGTTTTAGGATTTTAGGTTTTAGGTTCAGGGTCTAGGGTTCAGAGTTTTCGGGTTTTGGTGTCCGAGGCTTC